CTCATCCTCATCCACTGCTCCCACGACGGCCGCTCAGGCGACTGTCCCGCGCGCAACAACAGACACCATCGCCACCTCCCCCGACTCCAGCGATGAGGATCAGGACTAAACCTGCCCTAATTGCGACCGCACCTTCACCTCCCACATCGGCCTGGTCGGTCACTTGCGAATCCATTGCACAGAGACTGGCGAGCCAGTGCCTGGAGCACCAACCTACAACCACCGCACTCGCCTCCACTGCCCACACTGCCCTCGCACCTTCACGCATAGCATGGGCCTATTCGGCTACACGCGCATCCACGAGAGCGGCATTGACCGCACTCTCGACACACCCACCAAATCCAACACATCCACTGTGCACACCCCCACTCTCGCTCCATCCGTCTGCTCCATCACCACCCCCACCACCTCTTCTACAGCTGACACCGACACCGCCGATTTCTCATGCCCACACTGTCCACGCACATTCACCTCACGCATCGGCCTGGTCGGTCACTTGCGAATCCAGCGCACAGAGACCGGAGAACCAGTGCCTGGAGCACCAACCTACACCCACCAAGCTCGTCTCAACTGCCCACACTGTCCTCGCACTTTCAGGCACCGCATGGGCCTATTCGGCCACATGCGCATCCACGACGACCTGCGGTAGACAACCGCCGGTTACACCACACATCCACACACTCCCTACCCTCATCCACCATCACCAACACACATCAACACTCACCCAACGCATGCACCAACTGCCCCCTCCCACGCAAATGGGAAGTGTGCATCTCGACTCGGTCCCCATGCGGCTTCGGCCGCACGGGTGATTTGAGTCCGAGACTATCCCGACACGTCAAGCGTCGTGGATAGGAAGGTTGCTGATTGACGCCAGCTCTCGGCTCACGCAGTTCGTGGCGTTCTGTGTGTGTTGTGTGGAGTGGCGGACTGGTGGGCTGGGGACGGGCTGAAACAGCACCTTCCACGGCCCTCTCACGCAAGTGAGAGACACGCCGTTCAACCCCCGTTGTGTGAAATCCTGGTGTCTGTTTGTGTACGGGGGCCAGGTCGTGCTGTGGCGCACGCAGGCATGGTCAGTCGACCGTGTAAGCCGCCGCGCCCATTTCCCACTCCAGTCTGCTGACCAGCTTGGACAGCGGCTGGGGTGTGGGGATGGGAAGGGAGAGTGAGGTCGACGACTCGGCGCACTTCCTCCTCACTATAAACAATCTGAGGCGCTTGAAGCTATCACGGTGAGCTAAAAGCCGTGGATTGGAAGGTTACCAACTGACGGGGTACCTTGGACCTCCTCCTTTACTGGAGGCGGTCTGAGAGTCAGGCTGCAATGGCTCCTTTTTAATGTGGCCATTATGGCATTCTCACCACTTCGTGGGATCCGAGCCAGGCGTTGGCGGCACGCCCAGGTGCGGCTTCGGCCGTGCCAGCCTCCAAATCTCTGTCGCGTTGATTGAAATCGTGGTTATTGTTGTGTGGATCAGGGGGTGTGGTGGAACGCCAAGGTTAGGATCCGTCCGAGCCATCCATCTGCGGCCTCTCTCGTCTCCGGTCTTCTTGACTCTGTCTTGACACCGGGCCCAGGCGGGGGAGGAGGAGAGAGTGTAGGTAGATGCCACGCAAGTCTACTGGCACTATAAACCCCTGCGCAAGTCACCGTCCCTGCTTCCACCGCTGCTGCAGCTGTGGGGCACACGGTGGACATCATCGAAATCGATGGTCGAACTGTCGTGTCGGTTCTACGCGGACAATTTGGGAACGGCCGATGAGGAAATTTTCGATCCATTTGAGAAGTTCGCCGCTGATGCCTATTATTCTCAACTTGCACAGGAGACGTTGATGCGGAACACTGTCGAACGCCTTCCGGAAACTAATATAGGCCACATGCACAATGTGTTTTGCGTCCAGTGCTCTTATCCAAATTTGCATTTTATATAGCAAGTTCGTTATGCATGATCTTCCCCTACGGAAACCGCATTGCGCATTGGACAAAAGGTTGTTGGTTTCCAAATAAGTCATCAAATCCCTTTTGGTGGTTTTCTCCATCACTTTGCAGGAGACTAATATCAGACTGACGAGTCTGTAGTTTGTCGCATGAGTACGACTACCGCTTTTGTAAAGGGGTGTAATGCAGGCCGTCTTCTGGTCTGTGGGAAGGATTCCAACATCAAACGATTTATGGCACAGAAAGGACAGTGGTCTGGCCAGCTGTTGGCCAGCTCAAAGAGCAGCTTTACTGGGATCTCATCCGGACCGGGAGATTTACATTCATTCAAGCTTTTTAGTTCTTCCAAATTCGCTTCTCCTCGAAACACAATATTTTCAATAGCACGGTCTCACCTGTTCTCCGAAAATAAATGGAATAAAGTCTGCTCCATTTGTGAAACGGATTGGAAAAACTGAGGAAAATGTTCAGCTTTATTTGTACCGTCCGATATCTCCAGACCGTCATTATTCCTCATGACAGGAATTTGATTCCTGTAACGGGTGTTCGCCGCAAATAGCTGTCGAGAAATTTCGGATTTTTTACGGCTCGGTGGAGCCAATTACTCTCGAAATCCCATCGCCTCCTGAAAATCAGACTTTCTACCTTATTTCTTTGATCTTTATACTCTGTGAACGCTGCATTGTTGGTGTTTTTGCGAAACTACTTCCACAACCTTCCTTTTTTGTTAATCTCCTTTTTGAGTTCTCGTGTAAGCCACTGAAGGCGGTTGGATGTCCTAGGCTTTGATAAGGGACAGTGGCTATTCATTAAGTGCAACAACCGATCCTTGAATAAATTCCAATCTTCGTTAACGTTTCCGGAGAAGAGAACATCCCAGTCTATTTATGATGCCTCAGCTCTCATTTGGCAAAAGTCCCCTTTCCATATATTTAGCCTCGTATCGTCTTTTGTATACGGTTAAGAGTGCAGTTCGTAGTCCCATAAAAGTACTGCGTGATCACTTCGGCCGAGCGAAGGTAGACAATACACTTATGTCAAACTGTCAGGATTTTTGGTGAAGACAAGTCCCAGACAACTGGCCTGTTGCCCTCCACGCGATCTAGTTGAGAACAGGACATCTTGCGTGAGAAGAGCTTCTAGGCTTGTCCTTAGTTGACGGTAATCGAAGGCATTCTTCAAGCACTTAGAATGCGTATCGCTCCATTGAATACAGGGTGCATTAAAATCCGCATGAGAACAACGTCTGGTCGACCGGCGATCTCTTTTATGCTTTCTTGTAGACAAGTATCTGGGTCGGGATCTGACTGCGGGGGCGGCTAGATAGTTACGAATTCGAGGGTCTGAGACCCCCGCACCATTATAGTCAGCCAAATTGTTTCTGTGTCATCGGAAATGTTGTCGGCCCTCACACGCTCTTTATTCGCTCTTGAAATGCCTGGCAACTCCTCCACCCCGACGGCCTCTGCTGTCTCTCCTAAACAATTGGTATCCTGTTAGTGCTACCTCGCAATCACTTACGTTCTCTGACAGACAAGTTTTTGTTATTGCTATAACATCCGGAGGGGTATCGGCTACCTGTATTCTCAGTTCTTCAAGCTTGGAAAATAGACTCTGAGCATTAGTGTAAGGGAAGTTATGTTTGCAACATTTGACAGTGCTTCGCTCGATTTGTCACGGGTTTGCTAATATTATGTTGCTGCCGCCATCATGATGACTGGCTGGTTCCAGAGGTGATAAAGCATGTTTATTTGTATAACTGAAACCTAGATCCTTTTTGGTTAAGCATTCTGAAAGTGGTTTATTCTAAAAAAATATAGGACCAGAATGTTTGGCAGGACCAAAGGACATGAATCTACACTTGGACGATGACAACTCTATCTTCCATGTTGAACTCCATCTGTTTAAGCGTAGTAAATCGACAATAATTTCTTCAACGCAAACATTTGCGGTGCCCTTAGAATATGAGTAAAAACACTTGAGGTCATCGGCATAAATAAAAGTTTGCGAATTTCCGAGGTTAGTCGATATATCATTAATGTAAAGAAGGAAGAGAAGCGGCCTGTAGTGGAAAGCCACAGTGGCAACGTCGCGCCTCTCGTTAGCGCCTGCACCTACGCCCTGGCGACAGCCTGCTATGGCACGCCCGTCTGCCCGGCTTCGATTTGTCTCGGTGCAATTCACTGTCCGCCCCACGCACCTGGTCGATTCTCTGCCTGCACCATGCGAGGTTCGTCACTACCCTTGCAGTCGATCAACGTAACCTCCTCTCGCTGATTGGTACACTGGCGGAAACAGCCCAGAATACTAGCGTAAACAATCTGCCACGTCAATTTTGCAGCGGCGGCCTTCGGCGAAACACGGCTCGTCGCTCTCACGGACGTCGCCTACGAGACGCCGGACGCATCGTCGTCCGGTTGCCACCTTCCCTTTATTATTCTGTACAGAACAAATAAATCATTTTCCTCTTCAACTGGCGTTCCGCTTCTCCCAACATGGGATATGGCCTGAAGTTGTGGCGTACTGAGCGTACACCATCACCGCTTAGCCGCTATAGGACCCAGAAACGTGCCTTGAAGTACGCCACTAGTGATCTAGTGAGACGTAAAGTAGATATTAGCGATCATGAGTTTCTGATATCCTTTGGATATATAGGACTGGATGAAGTCGAGTAGAGTAGGCCGGATGCCGAGAGCTTCCAATTTTGTCAAAACGCGTCTATAGGGCACCTCATCGAGGGCTTTGCTAAGATCAAATAATACAGCTATCACTGAATGCTGTTCATTACGAAGAGAAGTAATTAGATTAAGAAATGTCATGTGGCGAGTTTTTCAAGATCGTTCGGTAAAAATCCATATTGATTGGAGTTAAGAAGCCGGTTAGATAGACAGGCGCCGAGAATTTCATTGAAAATAATCCTTTCAAGATGTTTTGAGAGAGACGGTGTTTTGTGCACGCCCCGATATTTTTAACATCGGATCGAGATCCAGACATGGAGGTAGGGATGATAACTGACGTCTTCATGCTTCAGAAAAGAATCTTTTTGAAATATAAACCGAGTGTATAATTCCTGGTAAATTGAGTCACGCGCATAAGCCGAAACAGATTCCGGTGTATATACGGTACTATTGATAGAATAAGGTAATATTGAAAAACGTACAAACCTCAACAATGGATACCCTAGACAAAGCACTCCTTTGTTACTGTTCGAGCAAATCCAATTCCCAACTCAGGGTCAGAACACAAAAACTATTTGATTAAAATAACGCCGATCACGCTCGAAAGAGGGTTACAAAAAGGGTGAAGGGGTCTGTCAACAGGGGTCAAGTGCGGAAGCACTTGCGAGGAGGGGTTGGAGAATTCCAAGCGTTAACCAGATGGATACAACACCGAGAATAAATGATAAAGCAGTATGGAAAGATCTGATGCCTGTTTGATAATCGAATTTGGAATCCCGTCCGTTCTCGAGCAGTGTAAGTTTGCCAAACGACTTATGACTTTCTTTACGGAGATCTGAGGTGACATCGATTGTACTCAGTGTCCTATCTGAAAGCGAAGGAAAGAAACTGACCGGTCCGGACTCACTTGTAAGGTGTTTTTCAAAGAAGGCACCAGACAACTCCGCCTTGTCAGTGTCATCGATGAGGAAGACTTTGTTATCATTTAACAGGGGTGGAAGTTCGTGACCACTCTTAGAGGAGGACCGATGATGGAAGATGTTAGCGACGGATTTGTCAGAGTTCGAATCACTGAGGGCAAGTGATTCTCTTTGCCTGTCGCGCGCTTGGCGCATCCTTGAGGCCATCTCAAAAATCTTTGTGATTCTAAGACGAACTGATAAGGAACTAGTGGATGGGTCACGCAGCTGCCGTCTCAACCTTTTTAGTCTGTTCGAAAGAAAATGAGGAACAAGGGAATCTGAGGAATTAGGCTTGAGATATCTACGCGTCACAAACTGTAGGATGTCTTTGGAAACATTGGATATGACATCAGAAGAGTGGTTGCATCGCTACGGGAGAGGAAGCCACACCAATCCAATGATCTAATATATCTAGTTATTAAGTCGTCATTTACGCAATCGTAGTTTAGGTAAGTCCGAACCGTGTTGGACTTTTTTGAAATTGCAAGCGGTAAGCAACAATGAATTATTACGTGGTCACTGTCAAAGAGGTCCTTTTCGAGAGCAATGAAAAGAGGGGCAATGTCATCGGTAAAGATTAGATGCAAATCGTAGTTATCTCTTGTTGGAGAGAGCACAAGTTGGGACCAGTTGGCAGAATTGAAAATATCTTGAAAGGGCTGAAACAGGGCGGCTGGGGCCTAAGTTACATGATGTATTCAGCATTCAGTATTCAGTATATATAAGGTAAATAGGCATGGCCTTTGAAAACCCTATTTACAGACATAGACTGTATTGCGACACTTAAGCCCCACCAAATATGTACAAACCAATGCTTTGGGCAACGCTCCAGACGATTGAAATTTTTGAGTTAGTGTATGCCTGAGTAGTCTATAACTCATGACACGCTTATAGCCAAAGTCATTTATATTCCCCTAGGAAGTTGTATGAAACACGTAAAACTGCGGATGGTTCTACGCTCTCACCTAGTCTCATAGGCGGTCGGGCTCTTTCAGCGGGCTTCTTCTATGGTTAGTGCAATAAATCGCACTCTGCGATAATTCGAGATCAAGTTCGTCCGCACTGCCAGTTACGCGACCTTGATCTTTCGTTCGTCACGACGCCAGAAGACCTACTTCCTGGTGTTTAAGGAACTTCTGTAGTGGGCAGCCGTCATGACCTGTCTGGCGTCATTGTTCAAGAGCTTACTGCTCCAAGGTCATTTACCCTTTTGCAGTAAGCACTTCAAGACGCGCTGACCTGAAGTCACTTGACTGGCAGCTCCGGCATACATGCGTCCGCATAGCCGCAGCTGCCTGCACCTCCCCCGCTGGGACACCATCCCTTGACAAATGCAACACACTGACTGGACAACACTTGAGCTTGAACCACGAGCATACAAAAGCAGCTGCCACTAGTGTCCCAGAGACCCTCAGGCATGACTGGACGCAGTCAACAACAACCCTGTCTTCGCCAGAGGTCCCTGCCGCCTGAGAGGGCAACTCTGTGCTCTGGGCACGATAAACCCCTTAATCTAGTGTCTTTTTTCTTCTCCTGCCAACATAGGATTTGCCCTGATTATGGAGGTGCAAAGACCACCCACTCACACCGCTTTTTCAGTATAATTCAGTATAAATGAGGGATAGAGGCAGAGCCTTTGAAAACCCTATTTACAGATAGACGTATGAAAAAACCTGTAGATATTTACATAGCAGTTATGTCAGTCATTGATATCATGTAAATTTTTGACCATCAAGCATAAATTAACCAGTCTTCTTTAGAAAGTCTCGACGTTTTTCGCTAAGACAACGGAGTTTGGCAATTTGTTCCATCCCTCAACCAGCCGGTGGGAGAAGAATTTGGCTTGCAAATCGAGTATGGAATATTTGGTCTTCAATTTGTATTGATGCCCTCGAAGATTTGTCTTCCGCGCCGGTTCGAAGGAATCGTCAAACTGAAGAGCACAGTCTGGCCCTCGGACGATCCTGAAGGCCATGATCATATCCCTTCTGTCTTGTCCATAAGAGAGGAAATATTTTAGCTTCTCCAGTCGTCTCCCATAAGGTAAGCTACTAAATCTGCCGACTAGCTTAGTCGCTCTTCGTTGTACATTCTCCAGTAGGGTGTAATCTTTTTTCGTCCAGGGACACCATGCCTGGACACAATATTCCAACATTGGTCGAACGTATGCGCCAAATACTCGGCCGAAGAGTTCTTCATCAAAATTGACGAAGGATCGTCTAATCGCGTCTAGAATACTCATAGCTTTCTTTGATACCTTGGTGCAGTGAGACGATGGTTTGAGAGTTGACGTCATCCACACACCGAGGTCTCTTAACTCGTTAACTGATTCGAGTTGCTGACCTATAAAGTACTGAGATTCAAATCTCAACGGCCTCCTGTTGCTCGAACGTAATCGGATAAGTTGGCATTTGTTACGATTGAGGCTAAGACACCACTCATCACACCATTTTTGCAAGCGATTCAAATTGTCTTGTAACCGTGCAGAGTCTTCCGGTTTCTCTATTGATTTTCGCAATTTGAGATCGTCGGTAAACATTACGCGCTCGCAGTTCAGACAGTCCAGGCAGTCGTTCACATATATTTAAAACAGGATTGGACCCAGAACGCTTCCCTGCGGAACGACACTGTGCACGGATGCCCAATTCGATTTAGCGTTTCCGATATACACAAGCTGAGATCTGCCCGTAAGAAAATCGGCTAGCCATTTCGAAAGATTTCCATTCACACCCACTTGACGTAGTTTAAATATAAGTCGTCTGTGTAGAGCACTGTCAAAAGCCGTTTTGAATTCATTATACGCGGCGTCGACTGATAAGCCCATGTCGACTGATTTCGTCCAGCTCTCCATGGATACTAGGAGGTTAGTGAGACAGGATCGACCCCTTCGAAATCCATGCTGATGTAAACTGAACAAGTTGTTTTCTTCGAGGTGCCGCATAAATTCCGTTTTTGTTACTTTTTCCATCAACTTCCAACAGATGTTTGTGAGACTCACTGGTCTGAAACTATTTGGGGCTGTTCTCTCGCCACCTTTATATATTGGGTTTATATTTGCTTTTTTCCAGTCGGTAGGCAAAGCTCCGGTCTCCATCGAAGTTCTGAAGATCCTGGATAGCGGAGAGGCTAGTTGGTCTGAGTTCATTCAGGACATTTGCGAACACGCCGTCCGGACCAGGGGATTTAGTGGGTTGTAGTTGACTCAGAGTTTTCGTTACCGTGTCTGTTGTGAAGACGACCGTGCTTATTTTATTGCTTTATTTGACAATTAGGGGTAAACTCTTTCATCAAAAGCCGGCTCCTAGGTATGCACAGACGTGAAGAAGTCGGACAACATATTCGCCTTATCTGACTTGTCAGACAACGTGTTGCCCTGGCGATCCTTTAGGCAGGGAATGCAGTCCCGGCTGCGTTTTGCCATATTCACGTATCCAAAGAATGTTTCTGAATTTTGCGGGATATTTTTGAGTAGTTTTGACTTAAAGTGTGTCCGTTCCCTCCTCAACATATTCCGACATACATTCCTTTGTTTTTTGAAGTCAGTGAAATGCTCTGGTTGCTGATATCTGGCGTAATTTTTCCAAAGTCTCCTTTTTAATTTAAGGTTCTTCTTTATTTCTGACCTCACCCACTCCGGTCGGGAAGTGCGCAGATTCCTCTAAATTGGGCAACAGCTCTCTACTAAGTATTGCATTATGTTCGTGAAGAAGAACTAATCGCTTTCTGGGTCAGATCCTTATGCTGCATTCCAGTTCACCTTCTGTATCAGGTTTCTCATTCGGGTATAATCACCTTTCCATACATTTCTTTCCTCGGCAGCTCGAATTTCGGGTATAGAAAAATGACTATACTATCTGGAAACCATCTAGCATATCTTCCGCATCTTCTGTCTGCGCATTTAACCATGTTTCTGTTAAAGCTATCAAGTCGAGTTGAAAATGGGCCACGGTGAGTTTTACCTCATCCAATTTGTTGACTAAACTCTGCGCGTTTGTGTACACCATTTTTATGTTATTCGGCTGTTTAGATCTCTGGAACTTGTTTGCTGGTGCTTTGACTGATAGTTATTACGGCATATGTGACATGGCGTACCAAGTCCACTATCGATTGTGAATTTACTGAAGTTCGTCGGAACCGAGTGCCGGTGCTTTTACCGTCAACGTCACCGGATGATTCTACAAGAAGGAAGGCTCAATTTTTACAATTTGGTTGTTTGTCATTTTCAGATTCACTTGGTCACAACACCTCTCCGTCCTATATGTAATCGTCGTTCAGCGGACGGACTGCGGTGCTGATAAATACTTTATTTATTGATGACTTTATTTCCGTTTATCGATATGAATAGGGAGCTCAAGGGCGAAAGCCTCATTCCCTTAATAAACTGACTTAAACTGACTTCAAGTTGCCCAAATCCTTTCCAGCATTAATAACTTTAGTTAGTACGGTTAGGCAGCCAGCAAAACTGTCGTCCGCATACATGACATGTGCCATTGTTCTCAAGTAATTTTTCGAGAGTACCTGGGTACGACGGAAGATGTGACGGAATAAATAAACCGGAAATAAATAAAGAAGAAAATAAAGAAAATAAATCAATTGTGAGTTTTGCAGGTCCTGTAGAATAATTGAAAAATAAGTGATCTGGTGGAGATTTTATAATTCCTGCGAAGGTGTCAGTGCAGCCCTTCGGATATGCATCTACGAATTGCGCGAACTGAGAAAATGATAACGTTATGTTGCAGCGATGTTCGCTAGAGCCTAATAACAAAAGATGCAGAAAGGAATGGGGTCAAAGTTTCGAGGCAGGTTCAATGTGTTCATTCTAGGTAAATTAACACCGCGACATGGACGTACTAACGTCCTGTTTTGTGTGTTTTGGAGCTTTGATGTCACCATAAAATGGAAGAATCCCCGTTATTCGGGACTAGGTGTGCTCGCCTTGTGAACTGTCGACAATTTTCGAAGTCCAAATTCGAAGTTCGGCAACATGCAGCATGTTTTGTTGGTCCATTGATATCCATTACCTCCATCCTCCGCGCGAAGATGACTGACTCATGTTGGGGTACAACCATTGACGCTCATAGAGCACTTACTAAAAGACAACAGATTTGGAAGTCCTGGTCTCTGGATTAACCCGTTGTTTTTAACTAAGAGTGATTTTGCTGCGTCAAACCTGAACCTCGAAAGCCGCCTTATTTTAGAGGAAGCATTGGTAAAGAGCCTCGTCAGGAGATGTAACGTTCGCTTATTGTAATTCGTTTTATGTAGCAGGAGCAAATTAGAGTGCAAATATCATCCTTATGCTGTCCTCATTGAAGATGCGCACGCCGGGGACATGGTTTGCTCACTGTGCGGCTTAGTTGTTGCAGACAGGTGGGTAATAAATATGGAATTCACAGCACGTATGAAACCCGTCTGACCTTTGTACGTTTTATTCTGTGCTAATTTTCACTAAGAACTCAGTCGCAAGTTTTGTTTTTTCCTCCAGAATTATTGATGTTGGATCTGAATGGCGAACATTCTCAAATGACGCCAATGCGAAAGATAACTCCCGAGTGGGCGCGGCGGAGAATCCTCTTTTTGAAGGGAAAGATCTTTCTACTATGATAAGCGCCCCGTCCAGATCCGATCCACGGCATCTTGATGATCAAGGACGGCCTCTGTACCGAAATAAGAGGAGTGTTTCTGGCCCAGATAGAGCTCTGATTACTGCATTTAGAGAGATAAGCCAGATGGCTGAACGCCTGAATCTACCGAAGACCATATCGGTGAGCGTTAAGTTAATCTAGTAGCATGGATTCTCTGTTCTTGTGTTTTTTCTCATTTTCTTCGTTCGTTAACCATGTTCTTTGTTGCTGGGTCAGTACCATTTGAACTCGTTAAAGGGGTTCCAAGACCAACATTCCTTGTTTGTGGTCTCGAAACTGTTTTATTTTTTTAAACCGTCCTTACTCTGAACGGTTTTGACGACCAAAACTACATAGGACTTTTCTAATTACGGCTTCCCCGGAAATGCAACCTATCTGTTTATATTTAGTCTTATCTGCTTTACCATTTTGGACCACCTACTGAGATCGGTTGGCCTAACACAAAATACATTTTAGGACCGAGCCAATCTACTGTTTAAACAAGTCTATGAAACAAGAAATCTGCGTGGCCGAAGTAACGATGCCGTCTCAACTGCTTGTCTTTATATGGCCTGCCGGCAAGAGAAAGTCCCTCGCACATTCAAAGGTGCCGTATACCGCTTCCTAACAGTTTTCACTTTGCACCCCTTTTAGTTCCACGGACTATTTAATTTCACTTTGTTCGCTAACTTTATGTTCTATGACGCAATGTGTTTTCAAGTTTCCCTATGTTAAGTTTGCGTCCAGCAGTTCTGTCTTGCATTTTGGTCGGTAAAGAAATGTATTTTTCAGGTTTCAGTCGGATTCCCTGTTGTAAAATAGTCTTTCCAATTGCATTTTCACTATCCAGCAGTTTCTTATTTGTCATATTATCTTTTCAGAGGTATGTGCCGTCTCAAAGGTCTCGAAGAAGGAAATTGGCAAGGTTTTCAAGAAGATCCTCAACATTCTGGAAACCAACGTCCAAGCCGTCACAGTTGATGATTTTATGTCCCGATTTTGTGCAAACCTACATCTTAACATAACTGTGCAGCAAGTGGCAAACGTTGTTGCTCGGCGCGCCTTGAATCTAAACCTGGTGTCAGGTCGAAGTCCGGTGTCCGTCGCCGCCGCTGCTATATACATGGCAGCCTACGCCCTAGGTTGTCGCAAGGAAAAGCGAGGCGAGTACATGTTCTTTTTCTGTCATTTTTCTATTCTTTTCTACGTAGGGAGGAAGTCATACACCAATTTTGTTTTTGAAAAACCTAGCAGTGTGCCCGCCATCGTGGTTGCTAGGCCCAGAAGCAGTCCACAAGGGCTCGATTCTGCGTAGGTCGGGACTTTGTGCGCCTCCCATAATCTTTCGTACACGCCTAACTATTTAGATCCCAGTTAATAGATGATTCTCACAGCCAGTACGGATAAGGTTAGCTTAAGTAAAGATACCGTTCGCGTCAAGCCAAATTTTCATTTGAGTACTGCGACTCGCAAATCTCTTGGGCGACCTAGAGTAGTGCAGGTTGTTCTTTTCATTACACCTCGTCATGCGCACTAGTGGGTAACTCAACTATGATTCGTCTTGATACAACGTGCATCTTGCTACCATCAACAAGCTGTTCTGCTGGTCAAGAACAACTTCACGAAATAGGTGCGCGACTCACTTTAGCGTATTCTTCGTCGTAAAGAGGACCGCTTCGAAAACCTGCGTAATTTCCCACGGGAAATCGATGACCATCTCCCCTTAACGCGGCTTTCGCTTCACAGACAGAACTTTGACGCCATCACTGGAGCCTGCGCCTTAAAAGGGCTACGATTTTCCGATAGGGAAAAATTGCATGAATGTCTGCAAATCCTCACCCTGCGAGTGCGGAAGAAAGACTGATTAATTGATCTTGACGACCAAAACAAGCGAATGGGGACAGACGGCGCCACCTGGGAGTGTGTTTAACCACCACGGAATAAGTTATCGCGGCAAACACAGACTTTTATCACAGATGACCCCTCCTTGCGTAAGCAACTTTTCGCCTCTCAAACCACAGAAAACCGTTCGCGTCACTGGTATCTTCTGGACTACGTGCTCGTCAGGAGACGAGTTTGCATTGACAGCCGAGTTGTGGCAGTAAATGTTGAACCGCCCGAACGACTGTCCATCCAATCATTAAGGCAGATTCAGGAGCAAACAGTATCAAGTAGGCTAGGCACGTCAACAGTAGGTCTGACTGATTGCAGACCAAGCTTCAACAGCAAAATAGACTCCAGTGCTGAATAACTAGAAGTCCTCAGGAAAGAGGATTTTGAAAACAAACATTAGAAACAAAAGGACACCATCCATACTATTGTCATGGAAGCCCACTAGCGTCAGGATCAGCTTGACGACAACAGAGGGGAAATTCGGTTGTCTTCCTCTATGCCGACTACATGCAATCACCGGACTTCCTCACAAAGTTACGCCAACTATGGCAAACGGAATAAATTTTCTGCGATCATCACGGCGATATGCGGGCCCCAACTTACCAGGGATGCTCTGCTGTTCAGTTTAGTTTGGACAATTCAACTGTCGGGAAAACCACTGATCTTGGAGCGCTAGGCTGAGCACTTAAACTCCCCCCCTCAGGTCGAAGTCAGTGCTAACCTAAACCGCTCTTCCATCACTCTCCTTACCCTGAAGACGATTAGAGCGTTGTAACAGATGTTCAGCAGAAAGTCCGCGTATGTCGACTTGATTTTGACTGAAGTCCAAACTTACGGTGGTCTTCGGCCGTCAGACAAGCTGACATCATGGAAGTCCCAACAAGGAAAAAGAAACTAGAAGTATGTGATGATTACAATGATGTCTCTTCCTCGGTATCTACGGTTAGATGTCCACCCACGTTGCCCTGAATCGCTCGTGTAACAAGGTCGTCAAAATGTTTGGAGTAAAGACTGCTTCGCATGACGAGAGGGTATAGTCGCATGCATCAATTTTTTGCCCCTTGGCCCCTTGCAGTGATCCAGAGAACGACTCACATTCGTCCGGTATTGAAGATCGGGAAGCATCCCAAATGGTTTAGACCCACGATTTGTGCGACTGAAAGAACCCTTACCACTCGTCTTTGTTTCGATCTGCAGGAAAACCGCCTAATTGTGCACAATCGGCCCGACTTTAGGCCGAAGCGTAGTACCATAAACTGTCACAATCCACTAATATGGGTCTTCCAGAGGAGGCAAATGCATTGCACGTTATTTATGCCAATGGACGTTCATCGCTACCTGGTCAGACACGTTGTTATGTAAGATGATAGAAAACGGTATACCGTCTCACTTCGCTCTCCGAAACTAGCCTCCAACAGGACTAACTTCGCCACTTTCATTGGAACATAAAGTAGGAAGGTGATCTCTAAACACAGCGTCCCGCGAGACGCTGCTTTCGCAGTTGCTCTTTCTGGTTTACCGCGGCACTGCAGAGAGGAGCACAGTAATAAAGTCCTCTACCGTTCTCTTGCGGCAATTTGGACACGTGGTAAGTCCCTACTAGGGGGCTCGAACGAAGCTATGGACTACAACGAGCATCCAGACCCGCCAGTGTCTCAGCTCCAAGGCCAATCAAGGATGTCCGTTTCCATCCAGCAATCGGGATAAATCGGTGGACGCCGGTCCATTGTAGTATCTTCGGCATAACAGCAAGAATATTGCGCAGAATTACGAGCTCGTTCATCGGTTTCCGTCTGTGTACAGTACTGAGAATACTACAACTCCCACGATCCTTTTCTCCGCTTCAGACGAGGTTCATTCTGCCACATCTCCGACGTCAGACCGGGGCATCGCCGCTTATTGCTGTTCGATTAAATAAGGATTTTAGTCGTTTTGAGCCAGTGCTAGTGATCAGGTTTAAACGAATACGCACTCTGGATGAATTCCGTCAGGTCCGCTGACTGTTGGGACACGCATTCACTGCCACCATTATGGTCTGTCGTTAATCCTGGCCTATAGCAGTGATCTGCTGGTATCGCGTCCGGCATAGTCGGACGGAGACCTGCATTCAAGGACGTTGGTTGGGCTCGATAGAGAGAGCCCGTAAAGCACAACGGAAGGAGTGAGTTACGTAAGAACGATCGATGAGCGTCCCGTACCACTGTATATTCCCGATCGAAAACCGACAGGGCAGCGGGCTCGTGGCCCAGTGGTTAGAGGCCTCGAGTGTTCCACACTTTGGGGTTGGGTATGACTGGCTGACGACGGGTAATAAGCCAGAAATGGCCATTCCAGTCTCCCTTGTCTTTGTCGGTAATAACATTCTGTCTGTATCATGCGCCGCTGCGCCTCTGCTGGTTGGGCTCGAGAGAGAGCCCGTAAGGCACATGGGAACGAGTGAGTTCCGTAAAAACGATCGATGAGCGCCCCGTACCATTAGACGTTCATTTTCCTGTTTTTTCGTGTGCCTGCTAGCCTCAAGTATCAGTTTACGGGCCACTTCTTCTCGAATAATTGTTTACTGAAATTCCCCAAACTGATGTTCAACAGGATTTAAAATTGTAAGGGATTTTAACTTTCTCCTTTCAGAAATTGGAGAGGTGGCGGGCTGCGCCGAGGCTACGATCACCTGCACCTACCGTGCTATGCATGCACGTGCGTCGGAGCTCTTTCCTGACGATGTGCGCTTGGCAGTTCGACCGGAACAATTTCAACTTTAGCACTGCTTCTGTCCACCAAGACGCTGAGCGACGATAAAATACTTTAACTATCCGCGGCGATCAAGTTTGGAATTGTATATTGACAATAATCATATTCTCTTTTCAAGTGATGCTTTATGTGTGGACTTTGCCTTCAAGCGGACTGCGCCGTTGTCATGCTAAACCATGACATGGGCTCATGCCGGTGATTACATCGACTCGTCTGCGTAAGTCCCTAACGACTGCCGTATATGTGTGCAGCACGTGTCAAATGACGGCTAACGCTAGGCCGGCCATCGCGCCCAGTTTCATCACGGGTCAATCGACATGCCATCGGAGAGAGGAGAACGACACCGATCCCGACGGATCAATTCTCATGGCAAATAACGCCATCGAACCTACTAGGAAGCGCCGACACACGTGGCTTAGAAGGCTGCCCGCTGGCGGTGATGAGGGTCACACTGCAACGGGCTCTTAGTATGACCTTCACGGCACCGCACATTTTATCGAAATACCAGACCGCGGCGACCTCGACCGCCCTTCAATCCAACCGGTTAGACCTAGACAAGCCGATGGTGTGTGAGGAAGGAAGGAGTAAGGTACACCAGCCCGAATCCAGCGCCTGTTTGTTCGCAACGAAGAAATCAAACAAGGCTTCAGACTTTCACGATGCGCTTACAGTCCTGGTTCGGAAGGTTACTAAGTGGCGCGATAGCTCGGTTATGTTCGGACCTGAGGGTACGGCCAAACGAGTCCCGCGAGGTGACCCTTTGTGCGTGCCCAGGGGAGACCGGGTTGCGTGTAGCACGCGCAGACTAGTTATGTAACCTTGTCAGCCGCTACGTCCACATCCAGTCTTGTTGACTTTGTCTTACTACTAGAACGTAGTACACGCGGAAGGGTGACGTGGACGCGAGGTAGGTCTGCTCATTCCAAACCAATTCGCACGCAGGTTACCGTTGGAAAAATTTAGCTGGTGATGGTCAAACTATCACGTACCGGACTGAGCGCAGGGCTGGTTCATCCAACAAAGAACCGCTTCGAAAACAAGCCACACATCACTTGTGAGGCTTCTTAGTAGAGGAGCTATCTGGACCCGGTGATGGCTTGTTTCTTTAGGGCTCCGCCAGTGGTGATTTACTTATTCTTGCGGATGAGTCCCCTCCCCCCGGCGAATCTTTATTCGTAGAGAAGGCAGAAGTGAGACCGGATCCCCGCTGGGGACCACAGTTCCGCCCTTCCCCCGACCACTTTACCCGTGGGTGGGGGGTGGCTGGGTTTTATTCAAAGTACACAAACGACCCTGACGCAGGACAAGTAGAGGGGGGGGGCACGGGGTGAGGACGTCTAGAGGGGGGGGGGATGACTTAGATAAGAATCGATGGCGCACAGGAAAACAAGGGTACATACGCACGCTGTTAGCTACATGGACATCCTTTCGGAAGAGCTCGACACACGAGACCAACAGATTACAAACAACTCGGTCGTCTGGCCTCTGGGGCACCAAATGCGAGTGGCTTTCAGCCCAAAAATGCGTTAAAAGAGGGTTTAGGAGGAACGAACAGGAGGGAGGGGGGAAGAAGCCGAATTTGGAATGATTCCGAGGGGCAAGGCGGGAGAGAGAGAGAGAGAGTAGTCATCGGATCGAGCCGGGCGCGTACGCATGTGCCAGTGGAGGTCTCGCTGAGTTACTGCGGAAGAAACTGAACCGGCTGATTTGTTTGCGCTGCATCAGGTTGTCTTTGGCACACGCTCGAGGGCACCAATGCACTTCGTCGTTCGTCGAAACAATACAGGAGACAGAAAATTGAATCGCACTCTCAGTCACGCACAAGGCTGCCGACCGTTCAGCGGCGCAGATTTCGGTTGACTGAGAAGGGAGGAGGGTTGATCGAGGCGCTGTGGATAAAAAGAGGGGGCGGGGGGGGGGTTGAGAGGTAAGTTGGATGTCAAAGGTGCCGGAGATTTGCGCTGGCGAAGGATCATAATGGTCACTACCCGCTGAGAGCTTTGCAGTTGGTTAGGCGGAATTTAACCGGTCACTTGTAGAGGCGCGAGAGCGATGAGGTTAGCGTAGGTGTGAGGTGCGCCGACCTGTCTTGATCGTGGAGTTCCCGTTGAGGGTCTATAGTTCGACCGTCGTTACCGACGATGTCCACCTTGTGCTGCATAACAGGGTTTATAGTGATAGAGGACTTTCACAGCGTCTACCACACTCTCCTCCCCGACCTGGATCCGGCGTCAAGACAGGGTCAATAAGACTAGGAGGCGAGAGACGGTGCAGGTGGTTTGCGCGGCGAGGGCCCGCACCTAGGCGTGCCACCACACACCCTGGTTCAAAACGTACACTGACCAGGAGTTTGCAGAAGAAAACAGGGGGCAGGACCGATCCCAGTTGGCGTGGCGTGAGCCTGCAACTGGGCTTGCCACCGTATCCCGAAAGTTGGCATATTTTATGGGTGCGCACTCCCAATAACGCCTACCGGACCCCGATTTAGCCCCCGTGTTGGATCAAGGCATTTACCGCGTGGCCCGTTTTAGGGATACAGACAACCTAGGTGACCATATGACGTCTACCAATCATTAATCGATAGGCTCTACTGACACAGGCGGGGTCACTGGAATGGGTAGGGTGTGCCGAAATGAAATGAACTAATACCCAGAGCGTTGTTCGACGGCCAGCTGATTCGGGCCTACACGTCGGGTATGAAGCCTACAGTAAGTGCGCTAACTCATGAAATGTCAACCGAAATCCCGAAATGCGGTTTCGCTTCGGAAAGATGAATTAAATAGGGTTGTAAAACTGGTCAGCCTGCAACATAATTCTTCAATAATTCAGTTACCTCAGGATGCCGGCTTTCAAATGAATTTCCTTCCTGCTGCATACAAAGACTATACTCTAAAAATGCCTACTTAAGTAGCGTGCATTTTTCTCTTTGGTTTTCGATGCCCCTGAAAGTCCAATTATATTTCATGGAAAACATGCATAAAAATATTCGGTAGAAAATTGCGTCTTCTTTTAATCTTATACTCAAAGGCGGGATATAATTCGGTTTTAAAAAGTTTCTAATTGTGAGACTTTTAAATACCGTAAAATAGCCGTTCATAAATTGTCATGTCTCTGCATTTACTAATGTGGCTTGTAAAGTTAACAATATGGACCGAATACACTGTTTAATTTTATGAACCCTATATGGTCCTCCTTTATTACCGTAGAGAAATGTGTGGTTTTTCGTACGCGGAAAATATAAGCCTGTAGTTTTGAAACCCTGAATTTAAGTGTAACGGTAGAGCGGGTTCAAAATTATTCGGGAGTTGGAAAAGTTTTTAAAACCGAATTATGTCCCTCCTTTGAGTATACAATTAGAAGAAGATGTACTTATCTAACAAATAAGCAAAAGAATGAATATTTTTATGCATGTTTTCAATGAAACATAGTTGGACTTTAAGGGACATCGAAAATCAAAGAGAAAAGCGCATGCTACTTAAGCAGTCATTGTTTGCAGAGTATAGTCTTTGCACGTAGCCGGGTGGAATTTCATTCGAAAGCCGGCATCCTGAGGTAACTGAAGTATTAAAGAATTATGTTGCAGGCTGACCAGTTTTACAACCCTACTCAATTAATCTTTTCGAAACGAAAACACATTTTGGATTTTCGGTTGACATTTCATAAGTTAGCCCACCTACTGTACGGTTAAGGCATCGCTAACCGATGACCGTGGAGGAACCACTGTGTCTGGCGTCGTCTGTAAACTTCGGGAATGGGCGTCTTAGGGAGCGGGGAACGTCGAGCGCCGATCCCAATTCGTATTGCATTCTTTCGTGTTGGGGACATACACAGTTAGTTTCAAAGTTCGGAGCAATGGTCTAGAAGGTCTCCCCTATTCGTTCCCCACATTCGAGCGGGCGGTTTTTCGTATTGAGCCCTCATTTCCCCCTCGCATGCATTCATGGACATTCTTAAACGTAGAAACCTGACGATTTTATTTGCATGCAATAAATTGGACTCGTTTTTCGCACTAACTGGTGGCACTGTCGTCTTAACCGCAGTCCGGAAGCTCTCTTAGGAACAAGAGAGTTTACAAAATTGGGAGGGATAAATTTTTTCTTCCGTTGACCGTGGAGTTTGTGAGACTTTCTGCCGGACATTTTCATTTGTTAACATAAGGGCTTTTTCTATCCCTCAGATAAGTGATGTAGTCTAAAAAAAATAATCATAAAGTACTTCTCATGCAGCACTAGCCAGCATACGAAGGCGGCAGAGTCCGCTATAAGTCTAAAATAGCTCTACGGATCGAATGGATGGAGGTTTGGCTTAGCCTGTCAGATAAGAGCTCTGTGCCCCTAAAGAGAGTGACTCTACAATACAAGTAATCATCACCGGTTCGAACATTTCAAGTGGAATATCGTGAGAAATGAGGTTGCAAAACCTGTTTTTTAAGGCTGAAATGGCTTCAAATAATGATAAGAGGTACTTGCAAAATTTAAATATCCTAAAGAAGGCGCTTGTTTGCAACGAGCCGAAATATACTACCCGCGCTGCCCTTTTGCACAGATAAGAACATTCTATGTAGTCTCACAGAGGTCAATCATAGGAGGAGTATTGTGGACTAGCCAATTACAGGGGGTGAGTTTCCTGCATGGGTACATGTTAGGATTCCATGGCCTGCCTAAAACCAATCACATGACGACATTGAACGCACTCAATGGTCGAGTCACGACTCGCATTTTTGTTGCTTTCTCAGGCCACAATGATTTTAAATAATGATAAAAGCTAATTGCAAAATCCGAGTGTCCGAGAGAAAACAGTCCTGTTGGGTGAGTTTGTTTCCAACGAACAGAAATTGTGCTACCCGGGTCGTCATTTTGAAAAGACAAAAAATTTCATGTAACCTTACAGAGGTCAATCCTAGAGGGAATATGTTGACAATTCTGTTATAACCTGTGCCCCTGATATGGTACCCTAATAGCAATCGAATTCGTATGTAAATGGGTTAACCAATCATAGCACGCGCACTTCC